GGATTCTGAAGTAAGAAGCCGAGGCATGAGATGACTGTGTTCTCTGCTCAGGGTCTAACAAAGCTAAAATCCGGGAGTCAGCAAGCTGCACACTCCTGGGGTTGTGGCAGAATTTAGGTCTTGGAGATCAGAGGAGGAAGTCCCTGTTTCCTGGCTGGCTGTTAAGGCGGGGGGTGCTGCTGTCAGCTCCGAGAGGTCCCCAAGTTCCTTGCCACGTGTCCCTCTCCATCTCCAGAGCTAGCGAAGAGCCCCTCCCTCTCATTTCAGTCCTCTCATAATGCCAATCTCCTGCTTCAGGGAAAACCCAGTCCCCTTCAGGGCTTATCTGATTAGGTCTGGCTCACCCCAGACAGTCTCCCTTTCTTCAAGCCAGCTGTGCCATGCCGTAGGCGCATCATGGGAGTGGTATCCTATCCCCAGTTCCGGGGGCAGGAATCATGGGAGCATCTTTGAGTTCTGCCATCCTGTGTGTGCCTTTCCTGGCACGTATTTCCTTGATAATACCTTTGGTACTTCCTGCTCATCTTGAAGGTCCTTGAGGGCGCTGGGGAGACCACCTTAGAGTGTGTTCATAGTTTAACAACCAGTACAGCCATATAGATTCCTATAGAACAGCATACAAGTATCTAGTCTGAGATAGGAGTATATTCTCCTCCATTACCCTTATTCCATACCCCAGCCTTATCCCATATCCCAGCTTCATCCCATCTCCCAAAACTCTGGGAAGCAGACATCGACCCAGAAATATAAGACAGAAAGGAAGAAATCATTAAGGATGTCTGCCATCCTCATTTTCGCAGTAAGGAAATTGTGTCTGAAACAGGAGTCCCAGGGGTGCCTGGGTGGTTCTGTCAGTGAAGCGTCCAACTCTTGATTTCAGCTCAGATCATGATCTCAGGGGAGTGGGATCCAACCCCACATCTGGCTTCATTCTGGGCATTGAGCATGAAACCTGCTTCAGATTCTTTTTCCCTTTCCCTCTGCCCCTCCTCTCCCACACCCTTGCAGAGTCCCTTTCTTTCTCTCTCTCTCTCTTTCAAAAAAAAAAAAAAAAGACTCCCAGCCCAGTGCTCCATTCAAGAAACCCTGCTGAACTTCCAAATGCAGTTTCTATCAAGATGCTGTGTCCACAGGCTCCTACTTTCTAGAAAAATCACCCCCATGACACAGGGCTTTCTTTACTGTGTGTGTGGCGGGGTGTTTGGGAAGTTCTGATACAGAGGTCCACTGAAAAGTTTGTCAAGAGTCACCCATGCATCACCTAAAATACAACCTCCTTTGATTTTGCCTCTTTTGATTCTTTCTCCGTTTGTGTTTCTACATCAAAGAGTTTAAACCACTTTGCTGGACTTCAGGCTCCGTCTTCCCAAGAGTTTTAATCATTCCGGGGCCCAGCTTCCAATTAGCAGACGCAGGAGATGGTCTGGACGATCCGCCTCAACCAGGCTTGATGAGCTTTAATGGGATTTGCCGCCATTGGTGCCTTTCCCGGGTCCAGCAGGGAGCACCTCTCACACTGGCTTGCCTCCTCCAGCCCAAAGCCCTTCCCCCTGCTTCTCTCTCCATAGGTGGTTCTGCTCAGAGTCCTGGGCTCAAAGGGGAGCGGTGCTAGACTATAAGCTACACGAAGTCTGGGTCTGCATTCCTCTTATTTCCCGCTTAATCTCCAGCTCTTATCACAGAAGCTGGACAATCGCAGTCCCTCAACTAATGCTGAATGGGCACGTAAATGAATAGAACAGATCTGGAAAATCGGATTCAAAAGTTCATCTCCATTGCCCTTGAAAATTCTTTTTATATCACGGGCCCACAGCACCAGAGGCCAATATTTCTAGAGGGGGCATTTCATTTACTCTTAGGAAGAAATCTGGGGCAGAAAGGGTCTATACCTGTCAGCTTGCCGACCCTGCAAGTGGCCCACTGGTGTTTTAGGTACTTGACTTAGATGCTCTGGGTCTCATTCTTCATCCTCAAAATAGGGATTAATGGGATATTGCACTAAATTCCACTTCAAGGAGAGTTTATGAGTATATATTCACATTTATACTTATATCTATGTTTGCATTCATATAGTCTTTCCCTAGATCCTCATAATGGCCCCCAGAGCTGGAATGGCAGAAAATATTATCTGGGGTTTACAACAGAGTAAATTGAGGCAAAGAAAATGAACAGTGTTTTTGCTTGGGTCACAGAACACGTTCCTCAGAAGCTGAGCTAGAACCCATATCTCAGCCTGGGCTGAGCAAGGAAACACTTGTGCCAAGGATTCTAGCACACTTGGAGGATGGATGCCAATTTCAAATCCTAAGTGAAACCTTTCCCTGTCTGCTGGACACAAAAAAATTTCTCAGATCTTGACAGAGGTGTCCTAGAAAACCTTTCTCTGTTTCCAGTACAGTGCAAGGCTTTCTCCTACGAGAACCTATGAAAGTATTTTTAAAAATAAAGAAGGAAACAGTGCAGAAAATCAGCAGGAAAGCTATTTTTCTGGAAGAGCTGAGGGCAGGAGAATGTGCTTTGCCAGTTGCCCTAACCAGTGACTCATTCTGGCCAGCACTGTGCCCGCCCTGCCCAACACCTGTGGCTCGGGGAGTCCATGGACAGCCCTCGTATCAGATCCCTAGTTGGATCCCAATAGCCGGGGTCCCGAAGATCCCCCAGGGCATTGGAAGTAGCAGCATTTCTCACCCTTTTTGGGCATCCCTGAGTTCTCAGTAAACAGTGTCGGACCCAGGGGCAGAGCAAAACCATGTTTATGATTCTGCAAAGCAGCACCAAGCCTCCTGCTCCTTGTTTCATTTATCTTTGTAGCTGCCACGTGAGGGAGTGGGGAGCAGGTGGCCCCGTGCAGAATGGGAAATTCTGAGACGTCTGAGACAAACAGCCCTTCGGATGACCCTTCAATACGATATTTTAAAGGTTACCTTGAAATTGCCACAACCACCAAGGCAGCAAAGAGAAAGGTCTACGGGGAACATCTGACTTTCCACGATGGGTGAAATCTTCCTCTTGGCTCATAGAACATTCACCCAGGTGGTTCTATCAGGTTCCCTGTTTCCCGGGAGTGCGGCTACCTGTGAAATCAAGACAAGCCTGCTTGTAAAGATGAAGAGCTGAGGAAGAGCATCCCCTGAGGTGAATTCCTCCCGGATCAGAAGCTCATAGAACTTTCTGGAGTGAGCACCTCTTCAGTCTAAGCAGGAGCCACAGAACTTGGATGTCTGCAAGCCATCGTGTGGTTGGGACCGTGAGACCCCAAGCTGGAGCAGATAAACCTAGATTCAAACCTTAACTCGGCCACATAACTACTTGAGCTTCGTCTTTGCCTGAAGATTGGAGGGAGCATGGCAGTTCTGCTCTAATACCTTTGTCGTGAGCTCATATAAATGAGCTAATGCATATACATTTCTTAGCACAGTGCCTGCTTGTTAACGCTCAGAAATGCAAGCTGTGGAGCTTATTAGCTTATTAGCTGTGGAGATTCTCATGGTCTTTCCTGGCTGCATCAGAGTCTTAAAGTATTTTCAACGGGAGTGCGCGGAATATCAGAAAAACAGCAGACTGTTCCAGGTGTGTGGGTGTTTCTTTAAAGGGTGGCATAGACTCCAAAACATGGTACAGCCTTTTTTTAAAGTTATTTTTTATTCAGATATTTTGTTGAGATAACAGACATGAGACGTTCTAGTAGTTTAAGGTGTATAACATAATGACTCTGATATACGTATATTTTGCAAAATGATCACCACAATTAATTTAGTTAACATCGGCACTGCATATAATTACAATTTTCTTCTTGTGATGAAGACTTCGAAGGCCTACTCTCAGCATTTTTCAGATAGACAGCATGGTACTGTTAACTCTAACTACCACACCGTACATCACATCCCCAGGACCTAGTTTACAACCAGAAGTTTGTACCTGGAGACCACCTTCTCCACCTTTCTTGCCTGGTATACCCTCTCCCTAGCAACCACCGATCTGTTCTCTGAGTTTGGCTTTCATTTGTTTGCGTTTGATTCCACATAGAAGTTTACGGCCCTTTTGAAAACCTTCGGAGTGTTAATATCTTGTCCATTTCAGTTTTTTTTAGAGGACAGGGAATTACTGTGTCAAGATTTTTAATGGGGTCTACACAGGGATCTGTCATATTAGTAAGGGCTCAGACAGCCACAGACTCCCCCCCTCAGACAGAAGGAGTGACCACACGGCGAATCAGACACTTACTGCCTTTTCCTTTCTGTCTGCTGCTAAGAACTGAGACATAAAGGAAGGAGACAGGGAGATATAAAGAGAAAAAAGCACAGGCTCTGGGCCCCGTGAGCAAGAATCCAGCTATCCGCTCTGCCAGGTGAGTGTCTGATGGCCCAGGTTATGGCTTAACCACTTACCTCTTTCGGACTCTCATTTATTTTCTTATTTATTCATTCATTTATTCAACAAGTGCTTTTTGAGTACACAGTATGTTCCGGGGTGCCCATTGGGTATTTGGAATAATGTATGAGGGAACAAAACAGACACCACTGTGCCCCATGGAGCCTACATTCTGGCAGAGGGGGAGAGACTCCTAGAAATAATGATGATGCATAAGCCCTCAGTGTTTACCTACTGGAGATCAAGCTCCAGCTCCAGCCGGGTGCTGTGATAACAAGTGACAGTCTGTGTGTATTACATGGACTAGAGCAGGCAATTAATAAATTGCTGTGGTTATCATCTTTTTGAATTGCTCCCAGATTTCTTAAATCCTTTCAACGCCATGTGTATTTTGCACCTGCATACTTATTCATTCAACAAACTACTATTGAGCTGCTATTATATGCTAGAATCTGTAGTAAGCACCAGGGAAACAAGCAAATAATATTTTTTAAAAAAATGGTGCCTGCACTTGAAGACTCTGCAGTCGGGCCCACTGTGCACTAGATGAGGGCCTTGGAGAGCACAGAGGCAGGTGTGGTCTTGAAGTCTTGTGTTTCGGTGAATCCACACAGTCCCCTTCACTGATGATGTCTTTTTTAACTCAACACATCCCAGCTATGGCTGGCGATTCTAGGAATGCTATGAACCAGGACATGGAGATTGGAGTCACTCCCAGGGACCCGAAGAAGATTCCCAAACAGGCCCGCGATTACATCCCCATCGCCACCGACCGCACTCGCCTGCTAGCGGAAGGCAAGAAGCCCCGCCAGCGCTACATGGAAAAGAGTGGCAAGTGCAACGTTCACCATGGCAACGTCCAAGAAACCTACCGATACCTTAGCGACCTCTTCACCACCCTGGTGGACCTCAAATGGCGCTTCAACCTTCTGGTCTTCACCATGGTCTACACCGTCACTTGGCTGTTCTTCGGTTTCATTTGGTGGCTGATTGCTTACATCCGGGGTGATCTGGACCATGTTGGTGACCAAGAGTGGATTCCTTGTGTTGAAAACCTCAGTGGCTTTGTGTCTGCCTTCCTGTTCTCCATTGAGACTGAAACCACCATTGGGTATGGCTTTCGGGTGATCACAGAGAAGTGTCCAGAGGGAATCATACTTCTCTTGGTCCAGGCCATCCTTGGCTCCATCGTCAATGCCTTCATGGTGGGGTGCATGTTTGTCAAGATCAGTCAGCCAAAGAAGAGAGCAGAGACCCTCATGTTCTCCAACAATGCAGTCATCTCCATGCGGGACGAGAAACTCTGTCTCATGTTCCGGGTGGGGGACCTTCGCAACTCTCACATTGTGGAGGCCTCGATCCGCGCCAAGCTCATCAAGTCCCGGCAGACCAAAGAAGGGGAGTTCATCCCCCTGAACCAGACGGACATCAACGTGGGCTTCGACACTGGGGATGACCGTCTCTTCCTGGTGTCTCCACTCATCATCTCCCATGAGATCAATGAGAAGAGCCCTTTCTGGGAGATGTCTCGGGCCCAGCTGGATCAAGAGGAGTTTGAAGTTGTGGTCATTCTAGAAGGGATGGTGGAGGCAACAGGTAAGACACTTTATCCTCTTTGGCCACAGAACCCTCCCACATGCTGGGAGCTTAGGGAACTAGGACTGGAAGATGCAAGTTGGTGCCTAAGAATCCTGGGATTCTCAGCCAGCCCAATCTCTAACTGTGATCTGAGGGGTATCATTACTCAATTAACATAGAGTAATAACAAGAGTTAATGTCTACTGAACCCTCTAGCTCCTGTGCATGGTTCTAAACTTTAAACATAGAGAGTCACACTTAATGCCTTTCCACTCCCGGTGAGATGACGTTCCTTAGGTTACAGATAAAGAAACAGAGGCACAGACCAGCAAGTTATAGGTCTACTTTTGTCCAAGAGCAAGTCATAGAGCTAGGATGCCGGTGAAGGAAGGGGGCCCCAACCTCGCCCTTGCTTTCAACAGGCTACTCTGTCACACCCCATCCTGGGGCATGTGTCTACCCAAAAAGAGGTCCATGATCAGATAACTTTGAGAAAAACAGTGAACCAGGGTGCACAGGCTTCCTCACAGTAGGACTTGGTGGTGTCTAGCTCGTCTGGCTGCCTCCACCCCGGAGAAGGCTGTCCCTGGGTTTCCCTGCGGAAGGCTGGCTGAGTGGACAGGGAACAAGCCAAAACCAGGACACCGGCATTCACACGTGCCCAAGTCAATGCCCTCTAAGTAGCCAGCCCCACACCTCCCTGCTCAGATGCCAACTCTCATGGGCGGTTGGTAGCCTGGAACTTCCACCATTCCTCAAGGCCAAGGTCTCCGTGTGGGACCCCAGGAAGTTCGAGGCCCCACTCCAGCAGAACCCTGCACCCTGCTTCTTATTCCTTCTATTCCTCTTGCCCTCTCTCCTGGTGATCCAGTAGACTGAGCACTTGTAGACCTCGCTTAGGCTCGGAGTGATACATATTTTTCTGGTTCCTGCAACGACACCGTCGGACCCCACCAATCCCGTTTAACAGACAAAGACACTGCATCATCCAGCTTCGTGGAGACAGTGTTGGAGTCATATCTTTCACTTACGAATCTAGAGTGTTCTCTACCACACCACACTACCCCCTGAAATTTCAGGGCCCAATCTCAGAAATTACCAAACAAGCCTTCCTCACTTTTTGGGATCGTAGTTGCTGCATGGGAAACTCAGATAGGGCCTCCACAAACCTTCTCATTCGGCCGGAGCCTGTGGGACATGGCTGGGGGTATGAACAGGCTCCAGGGATTGGCACGGATGGGGGCTGCTCGGCCATCTGCTGGGAGCTGGAGCCTGGCCAGGCAGCATATGGTGGCAGCTGAGGGAACCCCTGGGGCCAAGGACAGTCAGGAGGCAGGAAGCCTGTGGCAGAGCTGGGGACTTGCAGGTCATGCTGCCCTTGGTGCTGGGCTCGGGATCAGAACACCGGCTGAGTGTCTGGGGGAAGAACACCACTCTGAGGCCACAAAGGAAGGGTCAGGGCAGAGATGTGGTAACAAACAGGAGAATTGTGCCTTACACACCCTCCATGACTTCACTGCCACCTACCGTAGAGGGATCAGGTGGTGACCCAGCAGAACTGGGCCCTTCCCTAAGTATCCTTCAAGGTCAGTGACCCCCAGGTCACCTGCCCTGTCTCAATGACCTTCTTTCCTCCCATGAGTGCAGGGGGGCACCCTGGGATAAGGAAAGGAGAGCCCCCACCACATCTGTTATGTCCCTGACTTCTGTGGCTTGGTGGCGATGTTACAGAGCCGAGCATGCGCTGTTGCTTCAGGCCGAGTTTGGGCGAACGCAGTTCTCCCACAACCTGCCGGTGTATGTCTGGGCAAGTTGCTTAACTCTCAGCAAATGAGCATAATACATCTCCTGGGGTCGCTGTGGGGGTTAGAGGATTCGATGGAGAATCATACGTAAAGCACGGTGCCTGGAACCCCCAGGGGCTTCTTTCCTTCCCAAATGCATGCGAAGATGATTGCCAGGGACACAGGTGGGGTCTCTTGCTATGGGGGGCCCACTGCCCCATCCCAAGGGGTGAGCAGAACAGGAAGTCCTCCAGGACATATGGCCCATGTGGGTCCCGTCCTGGTGTCTTTCCTGAGGCCCCTGAGCCTGCAGATACCTGGTCTGGGTCTAGGCTGGTCAGTGCCCTGCTTGGGCTCCCTACGTCCCTGCTGGGCAGTAAAGAGGGAGCACTGCATGGGAAGGCCCAGCCCAGGCCACACCCTGGGAGCAGGGGCAAGCTGCAAGCCCACGGTGTGGGGGGCCCCTTGGGGGTACCCAGCACCAGAGCACAAATGGGTGGGAAGCAGCCTTGCCCTTGGGTCTGGTGTGCACGCTGCCAGAGATTGCCCACCCTGGAAAGTGGGAGCCGGCCTCTCCTTCATTCCCGAGAGCACATGCCAGTGCCTTCCTTGGCCAGAAGATTCTATATCAGCAAGCTGCTTTCCTGTGACCCCAAGCACAGAGGCTTCCTCATCCATAAACAAAGCTGCTCTCCTCCCTGGAGAGAAAGCAACACCTAAAAATAACATAGGCCAGCGAGGGCTGGGGGGACAGGGAACGGAGGCATTGGAGCATGCTGAAATCAAGGAGCCAAGGTGTGTGTATGTGTGTGTGTGTGTGTGTGTGTGTGTGTGTGTGAGGGAGAGAGAGAGAGAGCACGAGCGAGAGAGAGAGCGTCTTCTGCCCATACGCGTCTAACCAAAACAATCCCTAGGTGTCCTACAAGACTGTTGGCTTCTCTACATTCGCTCCATCTGAATTTATCTTTGTTCAAACCCTTTTCCTGCCTCTTCTGTGTCTTAATCTTCTAGCCCTTAATGCTGTTCTCAGGAAACATGTCCCTGGCTCTAGCTATTCCAGAATTACCCACTCCGATCTCTAGGAAGCTACCCCAGAATCTTGCATGTTGGTTTCTAATTTTCTGCCTCCAACACACTCCAGAGCTCCTCCAGGGCGAGGACTAGCTTACCCAGCTTTCGCCCTCCGCAGAGCTTAGCCCAAGAAGAGGTACAACAAAGGCTGGCTGGCTGGATGGTGGATGGATGGACGGACGGACAGATGATGGACAGCTGGTGGTGGCCACTCATAATCTGCATGCCCTCTGTCCCTACAGGCATGACTTGCCAAGCACGGAGCTCCTACATGGATACCGAGGTGCTCTGGGGCCACCGATTCACGCCAGTCCTCACGCTGGAAAAGGGTTTCTATGAGGTGGACTACAACACCTTCCACGACACGTATGAGACCAACACGCCCAGCTGCTGTGCCAAGGAGCTGGCGGAGATGAAGCGGGAAGGCCGGCTCCTCCAGTACCTCCCAAGTCCGCCCCTGCTGGGGGGCTGTGCTGAAACAGAGCTGGATACAGAGGCTGAGCCGGAGGGAGAGGACGAGCCTGAGGGTCTGAGTGGGTCCCGGGAGAACAGGGGCTCTGTGTGAGGATGGTACTTGCCCCAGGACCTCCCCTCCCTGGCTTCTGAGCACAGCCCCCGATGCAGAGCCGGTGGAGGAGGGGGTGAAGGAGCTGAGTTTGGGCTGGGGGGTGGGGGCTCCAGGAGCCATCCAGGCTCTGTGGGGAGGAACAGTATATCCTGTCCTGGAATGTCCCAGCTCATGCCTCCCTGAACAGGTGGCCCCTGGCCTGGGCCCCTGAGGCCGTGCTGCCTCTTCCCTCCCAGCTTCCATCAGCGTGGCTCAGGGCCAGGCCAGGATGGGGTTCCTCACAGTGAGAGTTACAGGGCAGCCTCTGTCTCCACACACACTTCCCTCTGCCCACCAGCTGGGATCGCCTCCCTCCTTGGGTCTCACAGACCGACCTGCAGCTCTCCTTCCAGGGCTGATGCCTAGAGAGGGCAGTCCCCCTCTACCCTTCACTCCCACCACCCCGAGGCTTACTGTGGGCTCCGGGGGGAGAAATTCTGCCTGCCCAGAAATGCCACCCCCTGGTCCCAGGATGAGCTCACAGACCTCACGGTCAAGGTCCACGCGAGTCAGGCAGGCAATGCCTCTCAGCTCCCACACCCGCGTCCCCTTCCTGAGAGCCACGTAGGACAAGGCCCAGAAGGAATGATCTGTTCTCACCCATGAAGCTTGTGCGTCTCCTATGCTGTGTCCCTCGTGTCACGTGTAGCCTACCAGATAACCGATCTCCTTTGAGTGACCCTCAGATGGTGGCTTGGGCCACAGCACACCTCCGAGCACATGTGGCATTGTCGTTGGCCGCATCCTGGCCATTCCTGACCGCACAGTGGCCCACTGCTCCCACCTGTCGGACAGCCCAGAAGCCCGTTCCTTTCTGGTACTTTCGGCCCCAGAATCTCAAAGTAGCCCTCTTCCACCGCCTCAGCTGGGGGTGTGGTCCAGGGACAAAGCTGGGGTTCCAAAGGCAAGATGAGCCAGTCAGAACCGAAACCAGGAGCAGGGAGGAGAACAGAGGGGTGAGGAATTAAATGTTTGAAATAAGCATCTGCACCAATCACTGCAGAGACATTCTGACTTCAGGCTCCATGCCCCTGTCTGGGAAGAGGCACAGCGACGGGAGCCTGGGGTGACCTGGCCTCCAGGCCCAGCTGAAAAGCCCCTGGCCTCCTGCCCCCGGCTGGGCCAGGAGAGCCCGGGTGAGGTCTCAGGAGGAGGAAGGGAAGGGAACGGGTGAGGGCAATCCGTGGGAGAATTGGGAAGCCCAGGACCCTCAAGAGAGAAAAGAGAAAAGAGCAGAGGAGGGCCTTGAGAAGGACAACTTGTAGATGGCTTTTCTTTTCCAGTTTGGAAGCCCAGGAAGAGGACAGGCGGACAGGCAGACTCATGCCGGTGAGGCGTGTCTGCTATGTGTTGCGGCGACAGGCTCCTGATTAGCCGACCTAGACCCGGACAGGGCTCTCAAATGTTTCCGGGCCACAGAATTATGGAGCCGCAGAACTATGATTTTCATAGTTCTCAGCTAGCCTTTGGTAATGGAAGCATTCTCCTGCTTGCTAGGAGGCGCCTTCCCTGGGAGTCAGAGCAGCACCGGAGGGAGACAGGAGGCCGAGCAAAGGGGACAGCTTTGGGATCTCGGGCCCACATTCCCTGAGGCTGGGTGTTCTAGGTCCAGGGGCAGGTGAGAAGAGACTGGCAGCGTGCGGTGGGGAAGTGCCCCTCATGGGGCTGCCATACGCAGAGGAAGGGGATCCTTGGGCTTGGGCACGTGGCCGGGACCTCGAGAGGGGGCACAGGGACACAGGGAGGAAAGCGAAGCTGCTCCTGCCCGGAGCCTGGGGCTGAATCCTGATTCCAGGCATTTTTCTTTGGGAAACAGGGCCAGAGGGAATGGAGAATGTACTGGAATCCTGCCCTCACGGAAAGGGGAAGCAGGCAGCCTCGAGCCCCAAAGCCGGGAACTGCACGCTATCGCATCTAGGGCGGGTGGTCCATATGGGATGATTTGGGGGTGGGAGGAGCTACAGCTGGGGTGGGAGGAGCTACAGCTGGAGTGGGAGGAGCTAGAGCTGAGGAGGGAGGAGCTAGAACCGGAACTCTGGGGGACTATTTCTTTGCACTCCACCCCTACTCCCAGCCAGACCTAAAACCCGCCTTAGTCAAAACCCATTAGTGCCTGCGGGTTAGAGCCTTCAGTGAGGCAGCTAAGCAGGGATGGGGACACTCCTGGTGAAGCTCGCCTGCAGCTGATGGGAGCCTAGGGCCTGCTTCACACCTGCTTCTGAAACATCCCCAGCTGGCCCAGTGAGCCACTCTCCAGTTCTCTAACTCCACGGCGGCCTCCACGAACCAGGGCCCTATCGTGTCTCCGCCAGCTGCAGAAGCCGTAGAGGTTAGGGAAGCCGATGAGGTCTCCACTCCCTCCCTGAGAGGTCAGAGCCCACATGACAGGGATTAATCATATTAGCTGCTTTCTCTCATGAAAATTCAAACACGGGAAGACTGCCCTTCACGTGCCAAGGAGATCCTTCTTCATGTCGGGTTGATACCATTGAAGTTAGAAACATCCTTCAGGTAGTTTTCTGGAAGTTCTTGTGTAAACATGCACTTCCTACATGTCAAGTCTGATGAGGGCCTGAGTTTCAGTGGGTCCCACGAGCCGCGTGTGGGTCATGGCCCTGAGCTACAGAGGGAGCTACAGAGTGATCTGAGCCCACCCCTCACTTCTGATGGGTTACGGGGCTAAGCTAAGCCAGTCTGTAAGGTGAGCCCACTGGTAAGTCCTACAGACTTCAACATCTCCCAGATCCCGAAGAGAGATCTCATGCCCCTGAGGGTGTTGGGAACTAACTTGCCTGTCTTAGCGTCCAAGACCTCTCTCTCTGAAATCATCCCCCACAGGGGAGGAGACCCCAAGAACTCAGAAGAAGGTAAGTTGCCACTAATTCTCCTCTCCCCATGAGTGTGACACATGATAAGATTGACAGTATCGCCCAGGCCCCTGTTTCCAGGCCAGGTAGAGTGTGGTATTGCCCGTGACTCTCCCCTTCAGAGGCCACCCTTGTGTGACCAGAACCCATGTCCTGTCATTTCCTTCTGCTGCTATAAGATCCTGGCCTGAGTCGTTGACCTTGCTGGAGGAGGAAAAAGCCTGTGTCTGTCTGGGGAGAACCCCCACCCCCACTCTGCTCACCATCTGTAACAATTGGGCACCTTCTTTCACAGTCCTTAACCCTGGGGCCTCACTTTCCAGCCTGCCTCCTCCACGTGTCCCATGTAAGAACAACAGCAACTGGAAATTTCTGTACTGAAATTGCCAAAAACGAAAACACACATATACAAAGCTGCCTGTGGTCTCCTAAGATGCCCCGAACCTCTCTCTGCATATGTGCCCTTTCCGGGGCACCTGCTGTGTGCCCAGCTGTGGATTAGGCGCACCACCTGGGTGATTGCCCTTAGTTCTCAAATGCTATAGAGAAGATCTTAGTGACCCCTTGTTACCAATGAGATAAGCAAGGTGCAGAGAGCTTAATTTGTTTGCTCAAGACCACAGATGGTAATAGGCGGGACCTGCGAGCCAAGCGCCGCCCAGCAAATACAGAGAGTCCATCAGCGTGCCTAGCACCCACCTCCAGCTCATCTCCTGAGCTGGGGCAGGAGCAAGGAGAGCTGCCTCTCCTTGATCTGCCTCTTCAGATCACCAATTTCTCTGCTGTGCTCTGGACCTTCAGCTTCCATCCACCAGCAGTGTTCTCCAGTGGCAGGATAATTGGAAAACACCTTTTTCTGATGCCTAGAGAATTAATGAGCTGTGAAAAGAGATTAAATGGGGAATTATTGCTTTCTAGAAGAAGTCACTTATTCTGCTTGGCTTGTTTTTTTTTTTTTTTTTTTGCTAACGACATCTCCTTAAACTGCTGTGTCAAATCTCTTTCTCCCTGTGTAGGATTTGTCAGTCTTCTTATTAAAGAGAACTCCCTGGCACTGCTTAAAAAAAAAAAAAATCATCCAATAAAGTGGATTTGATCTTACAGAGCGCTCTTTCCCATTTTAAATAGATGGCTACTGTTTTCTGGTTCAAAGTCACTGGCAGTTGAAACAAACTTGTCCTTCTTGTTCTCATTAGTCTAAAAATGCAGCATCGGTATCTAGAGTAGCTTGCGGGGGAGAGTGTGGGCACAAGTGGGGAGGGAACTGGATTGAGGCGAGCCAGACCTGGGGTCAGCGTGGGTTCTCATATTAGATCATTCACTCCCTCTCCCCAAATCATTTTCACACATGCACTAATGTTAAATATGCAGAATCTCCATTGCCTCAGTAATGAATAACTTTTACAAGATCCGCTGTAGGGAGCCCCAGGACTGGTAGTCTGCGTTCATGGCATTAATTGGCAAAACTTTAGGTCTTGCTGAACAATGGGGCCCGGGCAGAGGAAGCTGTGATATTTAACATTGGCACAGGGCTTCAAGACTTTTCAAGCTAAGCCCAGAAGTTTCTGCTGAAAATGTCATTAGCCATAGAGGGTTTGCGACTCATTGGCTTCTCTTCCAGTCCAGCCAGCCCAGGGGGAATGGAACAGTTGAGATTTTCAAAGGAGGTTGACTGAAGCTTCCTTCCTCAAACCATTCTGAAAGGGTAAAACAACTCACCAGGGTTGTTCCCCATCTAATAATCCCCCATCTTGTTCATATAGGACAAGGAGCAATATTTTGACTTGTGGAGGGCCCTGTGGCCCTGGCGTGCATGGGAGCATTTCCCACATCTGGTGGGGAGGCCGGCCCACGGCCCCCAGGTCTGTCCAGGGCCACTCAGGCTGCTGTAACAAAAATACTATGGGCTGGCTGACTTAAATAACACACACACGTTCCTCACCATTCTGGAGCCCGGAAAGTCCAAGATTAAAGCTCTGGCAGATTGGGTGTCTGGTGAGGGTTCATTGGGTGTCTGGTGAGGGTTCATAGACGCCTAGTTCCCCTTCACAGGCCCACCTCCTGTTAGCATCACATTAGGGGTTAAGATTCCAACACGTGAATTT